CCCCAAAACCCCAAAACCCCAAAACCCCAAAACCCCTTCTTAGTCACTCTAATTGAAATATTTTAATGAGCAAAAACGAGGTGTCTCTCTCTGCCTTTAGTCTGAATTTTATATCAGGGGGCATTGCAGGCACCCTTGGAACAATAGTTGGCCATCCTTTAGATACTATAAAAACAAAGATTCAGCTTTCAGATGGAAAATACGGCCCAATACAGACCTTTAAAAATATAGCTCATCTTGAGGCAAACGGAAGCTACCTGAGAGGATTTGGCATGCTCTTCAGAGGAGTTGTTTCTCCTATAATAGGATTTGCACCCGTAATTTCCCTCTTATTCTCTGTTAATACAGTCTGTACAAATATTATGAAAGAATGGAATATCTCAAAATATTGAAAAACCTTTCTCTGTGGATCTATAGCAGGAGCCTCATGATCTATCTTCCTCACTCCTACCGAGCTGCTTAAGATTAGGAAGCAAGCTATGAAAGAAAATACAGTGACATATCCTCAGATTATATCTCAACAGCTGAAAACTGGAGGAATACTGGGTCTTTATCAAGGATTTGGAATAACGCTATTGAAGTGTAGTATTCCAAATGGAATGTTTTTCCTGACAAATTTAAAAGTAAGAGAAATCCTTCAAGCAGACTCTCCTTCAAACCATCCTTTTGTCTCCTTATGTAAGAAAATTATTGCAGCAGGGATGGCAGGACAAGCATATTGGCTGTCAGCATACCCTTTTGATGTAATTAAGAGTAATATTCAGAACACCCTGTCCAAACACAAAGCTCTACCTTTTGCTAAATCTCTATACAAAAAGCATGGAGCTGCTTATTTTTATAAAGGAATCAGTGCTATGTTGCTCAGAACCATCCCATTTTCAGCAGTAAATCTTCTCGTATATGAATATATTTCACAAAAACTCAAGAATTCTTTCTAAATACTAATTAACCAAATTTCAACATTAAAGATTTTAAAAGGGGTTTTGGGGTTTTGGGGTTTTGGGGTTTTGGGG